AGGTGTCTCTCTCATGTCAATATTTCTTTCTGTCACTATTCCTCCCTTCCATTAAACAAATATCCTTGGGTGAGGATTAACAAGACACACACACACACACACACACACACACACAAACACACAAACAATCAAGTCCAGTCCAGCGTTTGGCGAGCTTAGCTTGTGTTCCCAGCTGCAGTCCATTGTGTGTGGAGTCTGTTCGGCCATGGGCCTTGGGGCTGCTTAATGCCACATGGCTATGGAGGAAGAACATGTGATCCCATGGACAAGTGGGGGGCGGGGTGTAGAGCAAGAGAGAGAAAACACAAGAAAGAGGGAGGGAACTCTTTTTGTCAGGAGATTTTAAAATATATATATATATATATTTTATTAATTTTTCACAGAGAGGAGGAGAGAGGGATAGAGAGTGAGAAACATCAATGAGAGAATCATCGATCAGCTGCCTCTTGCACACCCTCTACTGGGGATGTACCGGCAACCAAGGTATATGCCCTTGACTGGAATCGAACCTGGGACCTTTCAGTTTGCAGGCCGACGCTCCATCCACTGAGACAAACCGGTTTCGGCTGGAGATTTTACTTAATTTTTAAAATATGTTTTTATTGATTTTTCAGAGAACAAGAAAGGGAGAGAGGAGAGACAATCATCAATTGGCTGCCCGATGGGGAGCAAAACTTGGGCATGTGAGATGACCAGTAATTGAACCTGCGACCTTTCAGTGCACATGGCAATGCTCAACCAAATGAGCCACACCGGCCAGAGATTTTAATCTTCCAAGAGTTTGCACGCTTCTGAGGAAGTCCACCCCCATAGCCAATCCACTGTTCCCCAGGCTAGACAGATAAGAAGCTCCTTCCCTAAGTCACCTGACTTCACTTTGCATGTGCCCGTCTTCCTCTTTGTTTCCTTCCCACAGTAAAATGTAGGGAGTGGACTGGAGGTTCCCTGGGGAACGTGAAGCTGTAGCTTCCTGGTGAAGCTGCCCAGATGACCATACTTACAGTGTTTGGCCTCCCTTTTGCTTGCTTTCTTCTTCTTCTTCTTCTTCTTCTTCTTCTTCTTCTTCTTCTTCTTCACCTTTATTGTTCATATTATTACAAAAGTTTCTCATTTTTTTTCCCCTCCACCAGGTTCCTACTCCACCCTCTGCCCTTTCCACACCCCCCATTGTCCTCATCCATAGGTGCACAGTTTATGTTCAGTCTCTTCCCGAACCCCTCACTCCTCTTTTCCCTGAGAATCATCAGTCCACTCCCTTTCCATACCTCTGATTCTATTATATTCAACAGTTAATATTGTTCATCAGGTTTTTTAATTCCCTTGGTTTTTTTTTTAATGGCTTCCAAAGGGGTATTATTATTATTATTTAAACATTTTTTAATTGATTTTTTTAGAGAGAGGAGGGGGATCCGAGAGAAAGAGTAGGAGAGAGCGAGGGAGAGGGAGAGGGAGAAGAAGAGGGAGAGGGAGAGGGAGAGGGAAAAGGAGAGAGGGAGGGAGAGAGAGAGAGAGAGAAACCATCAATGGGTTGCCTTCCACACAAGACCCAACTGGGGATTGAACCCACAACCTGAGAATGTGTCCTGATCAGAAATCAAACTGGCCACCTTTTGGTGTACTGATGCACCAACCAACTGAGCCACACTGGTGAGGGTTCTTTCTTTATTCATATTAACCAGCTAATTACAAGAATAACAGGTATATGCAGTTGACATTGTGTGTGGAATGTATCTGTCAGGATGTCTGATGTGAGGGAGGGTTTTTATGACTTTGGAGGCAATTCAGAGAGTTGAATGGTATTAAAGTGTTAGTCCAGGGTGTTTACTGTGTGGATTCTGCATGTGAGGAGGGGTGTGTGTGAGGAGAGTGGGTGACACATGGAATTAGTTCAGAGCATGATTGGGAGAGACACTAATGGGGACATCATGAAGCCTGGAGCCTAACTCTGTGATTTCATTTTTCCCTCCCCAAACCAGTAGAGAATTTTTATGCGTTTATTTGAGCCAAACTGATCACATATACTAAGGGAGCAAGATCTCAAATACTTCCCTAGGCTCTGGCTTGACAGCTCAGTTGGTTAGAGCTTTGTCCTGATAAGCCAAGACTGCAGGTTTCATTCCCAGTCAGGGCACATGTGGGGCTTGCAGGCTCAATCCCCAGTAGGGGGCGTGCAGGAAGCAGCCAATAGATGTTTCTTTCTCCTGGATGGTTCTATTTCTCCCTTTCCCTTCATCTTTTTTTATTTTTTTATTTTTTTATAAACTGTATTTTATTGAATTTCCACAGAGAGTTAGAGAGAGGGATAGAGAGAAACATCGACGAGAGAGAAACATCAATCAGCCTCCTGCACACCCCCTACTGGGGATGTGCTGGCAACAAGGTACATGCCCTTGACCGGAATCGAACCTGGGACCTTTCAGTCCACAGGCGGACGCTCTATCCACTGAGCCAAACCGGTTTCGGCTTAAATATTTATATTTTTATTTTTATTTATTAATTTTAGAGAATGAGAGAAAGAAACATCAATTTGTTGTTCCACTTCTTTATGCATTCACTGGTTGACACATGTGGGATTTTTAAAAAATGTTTTTAAGAAACATTTTTAAAAAAATTCATGTGAGGTATTTTTTTTTAATGTCTTTCTTGCTTTCTTAAAGACGAAGGGAGCCGAAACCAGTTTGGCTCAGTGGATAGAGCATCGGCCTGTGGACTGAAAGGTCCCAGGTTCGATTCCAGGCAAGGGCATGTACCTTGGTTGCGGGCACATCCCCAGTAGGGGGTGTGCAAGAGGCAGCTGATTGATGTTTCTCTCTCGTCGATGTTTCTAACTCTCTATCCCTCTCTCTTCCTCTCTGTAAAAACTCAATAAAATATATTTTAAAAAATATTTAAGATGCTTCCCTTTCCTAACCTTTTTTCTGGCAAAGGCCATTTGGATATTTATGTTATTTGTTATTTTAAAAAATATATTTTATTGATTTTTTTTACAAAGAGGAAAGGAGAGGGATAGAGAGTTAGAAACATCGATGAGAGAGAAACATTGATCAGCTGCCTCCTGCACACTCCCTACTGGGTATGTGCTCGTAACCAAGGCACATGCCCTTGACCAGAATCAAACCCGGGACCCTTGAGTCCGCAGGCAGACGCTCTAACCACTGAGCCAAACCAGTCAGGGCCATTTGGATATTTATAACATCACTAGAGGCCCAGTGCATGAAATTCGTGCATGGGGGGAGGGGGTGTGTCTCCCACAACCCAGCCTGCACCTTCTCCAATCTGGAACCCCTCGAGGGATGTCCAACTACCCGGAATTGGGCCTAGATGGGAAGTTGGACATCCCTCTCACAATCCAGGACTGCTGGCTCCCAACCGCTCACCTGCCTGCTTGATTGCTCCTCACTGCTTCTGCCTGCCAGTGTGATCAATGCCTAATTGCTCCCCTGCCGGCCCGATTGCCCCTAACTGTCCTCTCCTGCTGGTCTGGTCACCTCCAACTGCCCTCCCTTGCAGGCCTGGTCGCCTCCAACTGCCCTCCCCTATGGACCTGGTTGCCCCTAACGGCTCTCCCCTGTAGGGCTGGTCACCCCCCCGGCCCCCCAAAATGCTCTTCCTTGCAGCCCTGGTCCCCCTCAACTGCCCTCTCCTGCATGCCTGGTCTCCCATAACTGCCCTCCCCAGCAGGCCATCTTGTGTCCACATGGGGGTAGCCATCTTGTGTGTTGGAGTGATGGTCAATTTTCATATCACTCTTTTATTAGATAGGATCCCAGGGCCATACAAAATTAACAATCTAAAAAGTAGCTTGATATATGTGATCATTTAAAAAAATATATTTTATTGATTTTCCACAGAGAAGAAGGGAGAGGGACAGAGAGCTAGAAACACTAATGAGAGAGAAACATCGACCAGCTGCCTCCTAGACATCCCCCTCCCCTCCCGGGATGTGCCTGCAACTAATGTACATGCCCTTGACCAGAATCGAACCTGGGACTCTTCAGTCTGAGGACCGACACTCTAGCCACTGAGCCAAACCGGTTTCGGTGATATATATGATCATTTAATTAATTCACCCCTAATGCCTTGGCAGAGACCGACCAAATGATTTCCCGGGTCTTATACTATGGGGAGGGGTGGTGTGTGTGTATTGTGTGTGTCTGTGTGTGTGTACATTCCCACGCCTAGTAGTGCTTGAGGACTACAGTTCCCAGGATGCCTGGCTCCACCAAACCGGAACAGGGAAGTCTTTAATGGGCGGGTCTGAAAAAAAGGCTGGTTTAAGAGAGGCAGTCCAGCCAATGGGTGACTCGGGTAGAATTGAAACCTACACTAATTACCTCAAGGCTTATTGGAATCTTTGGCGCCTTGGTTTCAGTGGCGGATGTGTGATGGACGGGCGAAGGGACCACTGAAAGGGCAGGAAGGCGGATCCAGAGAGCATGGGCGGGAGGAGTGGTGACTAGCAGGCCGTTCCGCCAATGAGCGGCGGAAG